AGGAAGAATCTTCAGGAATCTTCCGGAATCCTGAGGATGCTACCATATGCTCAGAGGGCGTTCGAAGAAGGACCAAAACACACACAAGGGTTAAACATGACACAAACAGAGGCCCAACAGGGCCCCGAGAATCTTGGATAAAGCCCAGGCACTGAAACACGCACGTCTGGGGTTTGTCTGGGATTTTCTGGGCCCTGTTGCAGCCTTGTCGCAATCTGGTTGGATCTTTCTGGAGAAGGAGAAGAAAAAGGGGGAGAGGAGGACGAGGAGGAGTATGAGGATCCGATGGTCCAGAAAAGAAAAGGAGTAGTGGGGTGATGGTGGCAATGTCCATTATGATTGGGTAGCTTCACAATGCTGACGATATTGCGGCTACTTGATGGCGATGACGCTGATGAAGTTGATTATGGTGAATGATGCTGGTGATGTGAAGACTGATGGTAATGACAGTACTGGTGATGATGATGACGGTGACGATGGCGATGATGATACTGCTGAAGATGATGAGGACGCTGATGATGAAGAGATCGATGATCATGGTGCTGGTGATGGTGGTCATAATGATGATGACTAGACTGACCATGACGATTCTGGCAACGATGGCCATGGTTACGACGCAGGGCGAGAAGCAGGAGAGCAGGACGAATAGGGGGATGAGGAAAATCTGAAGATAATGAGCAGTAGTAGGATGTTGGTCACAATCAGGGCAATATCGCAGGAGGGTCGAGCAGGATGAGGTAGCTGAGATACTTTACATGTCTTGCCGCTCGATGAATATCATGGGGATCATGATGACTATGGTGTTTGTGATGATGGTGGAAAACATGATAACGATGATGGGTACGATTGCAACGACGGAAGAGTAAGACACGGGGGAGATGAGGCAGAGGAGGAGGATGAGGAGGATCCAAGGGTCCGAGGAGGATGAGCAGTAGAACGATGATCGTCACGATGGGCACATCATCAGGAGGATCGCGGAGGATGCGGTCTCGGAACAGCTGAAACAGTCTTGTGGCATGAAGATGGTGTTTGTGATGACAATAGGGGTGGCGATGAGGAGAATGACGATGATGATGACGATCGTGGTGATGATAATGATAATGACGACGATGGCGGTGGATCCCTCCACGGGGGAGGAGGAGGTTCGGACAACGAGGAGAAAGATAAGGAGGATCCGAGAATGATGAGGAATGGAAGGATGATGGGCAGATGAAGGTACGGGCCGACGAGGATAAGGAGGAAAAGGAGGATCAAGAGTAGAAATAATAGAACATGAAATGCCAACTTCGTACACTAATGCAAGTACCGCTTTCGTACACAAGAACAAATCCGCCGATCCAGCGTGTGAGTTTAAATGGGGGAGGGGGTGACTGGGGTGGCTCTGCCGGGGTAGCGGGGGGGGGTCCTGCGGCGTGGGTTCCGGTGGCAAAGGGGGGGAAGGGGGGGGATCCAGTAGCCTGGGTGGCTCTGCCGGGGTGGGGGGATGAAGGGGGAGAGGGGTCCGGTGGCGTGGGTTCTGGTGGCGTGGAGGGGGGGGGGGGCGCCGCTCCGCGGGACACGGCCGAGCCGAGGCCCCGTGGAGGCGAGCGCCAGCGGTCGAGACCTGCGGGTGCCAGGCCGTGTCGGCTGCCACTTGAGCGACGACTTGCCATCGCTCGGACGTCCATTCCGCGGCGTACATTTTTCGGTTTCGTGCGTGCTTTTTTGGCTCGATGGTCCAGGATGCTCCTCGATGGTCCTCGCCGAGAAAAAAGTGCACACGTCCGAGCGATGCCAGGACGATGAAAAGCAGGTCCTGCGCGAGAGGCCGCAGCGACCTCCCGCCACGGCGCACGCGGGCCGCCGGCGCGGCGCGCCGCTGCACGGGCGACGAGGGCGCTGACGCGCGAGCTTGCGCGCGGAGCTGACGCGCCACTGTCGGCGCAGACGGCCCCGTTCTTGTGCTTCGCCCATTCGTCACTCGGGGGGGGAGGAGGAGGAGGAGGAGATGGAGGAGGAGGAGGAAAAGGAGGAGGAGGAGGAGGAGGAGGGGGCGGGGCTCTGTCTGACTACCCATGGCCCCCCTGGCCTTCAGATCGGAGGGCCCCAACGATGCACCGACGCCGAGCCTGGCCAGGCCGATCCTGGGCCCGGGATCGGTGTAATTATGTGCATCCGGCCCAGGGCAGGAGGGCGTGTGCACCGATCCTGGGCCCGGGGTGATGCCGGTCGGTATCGGTGCTGATTGAAGGGGCCCCAGGACACACAAATAAATACACACAAATAAAAAGATGCCCCATAATCCCACCAGCCCTTTAGGGCGTAGGTGGTCTAGAGCGTTTCCTCTGCCAACCCCCCTTCTTTCCCTTCGGGGAGGGGTTTACCCCTCCCCTTACCCCTCCCCACTGACCTGGACGGGGCGTTCCGCGACGCGTTGGGACGCCCAAGATGGCCCAAGACTGCTCCAAGAGCGAAAAGGCGAGAAAGCACAAAACATTGATTTTCCTTAGGTTTTGGAAGGATTTTGGCCTCTTGGGGGGGCCCAAGAGGCGATCCGAGGCACTCTAGAGGGGCGAGGCTAATTGAGGCTCCCCCCTTCTTTGATATATATTCCCAACATGGCCCCAAGAGCGCCCCGAAGGCTCCCAAGAGCGCCCCAAGAGCGCCCCAAGAGCGCCCCAAGAGGGCCCCAAGAGGCGCCCAAGATGCCTCCAAGAGGCTCCCAAGAGACTCCCAAGAGGCCCCAAGAGAATCCAATATGGCCCAAGACGGCTCCAAGAGCGAAAAGGCGAGAAAGCAAAAAACAATGATTTTCTGTAGGTTTTGGACGGGTTTTGGCTTCTTGGGGGGGGGCCCAAGAGGCGACTCGAGGCACTCTAGAGGGGCGGGGCTAATTAAAGCTCCACCCTTCTTTGATAGATCTCCTCCAAGATGGCGCCATGAGCACCCCGAAGGCACCCAAGAGCGCCCCAAGAGCGCCCCAAGAGAACCCCAAGAGGCTCCAAGAGACGCCAAGAGGCGCCCAAGAGGCCTCCAAAAGGCTCCCAAGAGACCCCCAAGAGGCCCCAAGAGGCTCCCAAGATGGCCCAAGAAGGCTCCAAGAGCGAAAATGCGAGAAAGCAAAAAACATTGATTTTCCATAGGTTTTGTAAGGATTTTGGCCTCTTGGGGAGCCCAAGAGGCGACTCGAGGCACTCTAGAGGGGCAGCGCTAATTGGGGACCCCCCCTTCTTTGATAGATCTCCTCCAAGATGGCCCCAAGAGCGCCTCGAAGGCTCCCAAGAGCGCCCCAAGAGCGTCCCAAGAGGGCCCCAAGAGGCCCCAAAAGGCTCCCAAGAGGCCTCCAAGAGGCCCCCAAGAGACCCCCAAGAGGCCGCAAGAGGCTCCCCGAGATACGCAAGAGGCCCCCGGGACCGCCAAGAGGCCCCAAAGACGGCCCAAGAGGCCCCCAAGCTCGCCATTGTCCTCCTCCTCCTCCTCTTTTTCTTCCTCCTCCCTCCTCCCCCTCCCCCTCCTCCTCCTCCTCCTCCTCCTCCTTTTCCTTTTCCTCCTTCTCGTCCTCCTCGTCCTCGCAGTCCTCCATATCCTCCTCCTTATCCTCCTTCTCCTCCTCCGCTTGCTCCTCCTCGCGCTCCTCCTCCTACTCCTCCTCTTCCTCCTCCTACTCCGACGACGACGGCTCCTCCTACATCCTCCCCCTCTTGGGGGATATGGCGGCTCACCCCGCCCTTTGTTCTTCTGCATGCTCCCCCGCTCGCCCCAAGAGGGGCCCCAAGAGGCTCCAAGAAGCGCCCCAGAGGCTTCCAGGATGATCCCAAGAGACTCCCAAGATGCCAAAATCCATCCAAAACTCTGCAAATCAACGTTTTTGGCTTTCTCGCTTTTTCGCTTCCGATGGCCATCCGAGGCCTGAAGATGGCTCCAAGATGGCCCAAGAAGGCACCAAGAGAAGCCCAAGAGAGCTCCAAGACGGCCCCAAGAGCGCCCAGGAGCGCTCCAAGATTGCCCCAAGAGCGCCCCAAGAGCAACCCAAGAAGGCCCCAAGAGGCCCCAAGAGGCCCCCAAGATGCCCCCAAGAGGCTCCCAAGAGATCCCCAAGAGGCCTAAATATGCTCCCAAGATGGCCCAAGACGGCTCCAAGAGCGAAAAGGCGAGAAAGCAAAAAACATTGATTTTCCTTAGGTTTTGGACGGAATTTGGCCTCTAGGAAGGCCCAAGAGGCGATTCGAGGCACTCTAGAGGGGCAACGCTAATAAGCACCCCCCCCCTTCTTTGATAGATCTCCTCCAAGATGGCCCCAAGAGCGCCCCGAAAGCTCCCAAGAGCGCCCCAAGAGCGCCCCAAGAGGCCCCAAGAGGCCCCCAAGAGGCCTCCAAGAGGCCTCCAAGAGACTCCCAAAAGGCCACAAGAAGCTCCCCGAGATACGCAAGAGGCCTCCGGGACCGCCAAGAGGCCCCAAAGACGGCCCAAGAGGCCCCCAAGCTCGCCATTGTCCTCCTCCTCCTCCTCTTTTTCTCCCTCCTCCCTCCTCCCCCTCCCCCTCCTCCGCCTCCTCCTTCTCCTCCTCCTCCTCCTCCTTCTCGTCCTCCTCGTCCTCGCCCTCCTCCATCTCCTCCTCCTCATCTTCCTCCTCCTCCTCCTCCTCCTCCTCCTCCCCCTCCTCCTCCTGCTCCTCCTCCTGCTCCTCGTCTTCCTCCTCCTACTCCGACGACGACGACTCCTCCTACATCCTCGCCCTCTTGGGGCGTATGGCGGCTCAACCCGCTCTTTGTTCTTCTGCATGCTCCCCCGCTTCCCTCATCACCTCCACTCCCCTGGGGCTCATTTCTGGACGGGCTGGTGGGGATACGCGAAGCGTCTAGAATTTCCTATATTTTCTGGGTTTTTGTCTTCCCCACCACTTCCCATATTTTCCCATATTTTCTGGGGGATCGACGATGAATCGTGTCTGTGTGTTTTTTCCCCTCCTGACTGATGTATAGCTGGTGCCTTCCTGTCAGATTGGCCCACCCATCACGGACCTCGTAGCTGGCGGAGCGGACATTGAGGTTGGGGTACCAGTCGGGGTGCGTCGCGAGGCCCTTCTCCTCGGGGGCGCGCAAACATGGATTCGCGATCCATGGAGTTGGCGCGCGCGGTCGCCGACTCCATCGATCGGGGGAGGTGCCCTCCCCCCAAAATGCGGCTGCTGCCGCCCCGCTCGGCGGCGGCAGCCCGCGACTTCCCCTGGGTGACGGGGCCCGTTGCTACTCCGTGCCCCCTTGACCCATGTTCGGCTGTGGACAAACTTAGTAGACCTCCCCTTAGTGAAAACGGCCTGGGACCGAAACCGACGGACCTGGACCCGCAAAAAGGACGGCCGGGACGCCGCCTCGCGAAGCGAAAGCGGCCAATTCCTCAGTCGACGTGTCAGGGTAGGAGGTCTGTCCACCCCCGACGCTACTCCATGCGGCATGGAGTAGCGACGGGCCCCGTCGCCATGGGAACTCGCGGGCTTCCGCCGCCCTAAACCCTGAACCCTGAACACTAAACCCTAAACCCTAAACCCTAAACCCCCTTGACCCATGTTTGCGACCGCCCGATCTCCATGAGCCAGCTGATGGCGCGGTGGCAGTGGTCCCCCTCCTCCGCGTCGCGGCAGCCGGGCGCGGGGTGCCCGCGCCCCGAGCCCTGCGCCCCGCTGCCGCTCCTCCGCGCCTCCGCCGCCGGCCGCGGCTTTTCGGCGGCGGCGCCCCAGGGCGTGAGCAGGTGCACGGCCGCCGAGGGGCCGAGCTCCTGGAGCAGGCCGTCCTTGCTGCCCAGGAGCCCGGACAGGGCCGCGCACAGCTGCAGCCCCGCCGCCGGGAGCAGGAGGCGAGCGGGCGGTGCCATTGTGACTGTACTCCGCTTCGAGTCCGCCGACCTCCGCGCGTCCGGGGTGAGGAGGCGTGTGGCAGGATTGCCTGTCATCCTCCCCCTGTTCTCATGCCCAGGAGGGGTCCAGCATCCCGTCCGCTCGGGGGGAAGAAAAGGGGGGGTGGGGGGAGAAGCTCCCAGGCGCATCTCCCAGGCCCTTTCGAGCCTCCAAGTCCACTCCGGCGCCACTAACATGCCCACCCAAGTTGCTAGCCGACGGCTCCAGGAGAGCTCCAGCACGCCCAAGGGGCCCCAAACGGCTCTCAGAGTGGCCAACAAAGAGCCCCCAGATACCTTAAAGTGAACTCCACAAGATCTCAAAGATGCTCCCATAGTTGTCTGAATTCAGCATTGTTGGCCTATCTGTTCCAATGTATGCGTGCATGCGTCCCATCTCCCGACTGTTCGCCTGTGCATCATTTCTGAAATTGATCTTGGAGATGTGGCAGGCTGCACTAATTACACTCGCCAGCCCACCTTTCGGGGTCGTCAGAATGACGTGAGCCTCTTGGATAAACAAAATACTTGATGGAATCGTACAACGGCCTTGGGCAAATTCCGATACGGAAGGGTACGCGCAGTAGATTAGGAGGAGGTGACTGAGGATGATTCGGAAGGACATGAGGGGGGCGGGGCTGGAGACGGGCCAGCAGGAAGAGCAGGAATGCTGGTGATGGTAAGGGTGGAGACGGGCCAGCAGGAAGAGCACGAAGTGGAGAAGGTAAGGCTGAAGATGGTGCTGATGATGGTGCTGATGATAATCCCGCAAGGCTGCCATGCCAGTCGGGCGCAGGGCGATGATAGAGAATAAGAGGACACCAACACACACTAAGCCGCCACGGCGGCACCGGGAGCAGGAGGGGCGAGGACGAGGAGGGGGAGAGGAGCACGAGAGGCAGGATGTCTTGTTTCACCTCTACGGCCACATGCCCCCAGGGGCCCTTCCTCCCAAAAGTGGCTGACCTTGACTTCCCGCAGCACGCAGCGAGAGGCAATGGCGCCGACCAGACGTCGAGGCAGCAAGGGGGGCGAGTGGAGCGGAGGAGCGAAGGAGCAACCGCAGGCGCTTGACTGGGAGCGCCCGCGCCAGGCGACGCCGCCTCGTCGATGCGGCACGGGCCTGCTGTGTGACGACCATCACACAGCAGGCTCGTGGCGCCTCGGCGATGACGGTGATGCACCCCCATCTCCCTCATCAGCATCATCACCAGCATCTTCATCAGCATCATCAGCATCATCAGCATCATCAGGTTCATCCTCATCCTCCTCATCCTCGTCCTCGTCCTCATCATCATCATCATCATCATCATCATCATCATCATCATCATCATCATCATCATGAGAAGAATCGAATCCGAAACGAATGAGATGTGCCAGCTCGTGGTGCAGTGGCCGCGCGCCCGGCCAGCTCCTCCAGGGCCTCCGCGCTCGCCGCGTGCAGCTGACCGAACGTCTCCCAGGACAGGGCAGAAACCGACGGGCCGTACCATGGGGGGATGTCAAATGCTCCGGCACGCGCGGCGGCGCCGGCGAGGTCCGCCGTCTGCTGGTCGGCTGGCGCCGAACGCAGCGCGAGCGGCGATCGGATCGTGACATCCAGCCGCCATTGGTGGAGCTCGCCCGGGTAGCTCGCGACGATGTCCAAAATCGCCTCGTTGCACGTCGGAGGCCGCCTCTCGCCCTCTGCACGCTCCGGCTGCCGCTACTGGTACAGCTCCGGAACGTGGCGCTCTGTCCACGGCGTAGCCTGCACGCACCATGGCATGACCTGCTTCAACGCCTTGATTACGCTCCGGCGTGGGCGCTGGCGGCCACCCTGCTAGGCACAGTGCCACGCGTGCTGCAGACTCGCACCTAGGCGCTTCCCGCACGTATCCCCGGTGGTGCCATCGCCGCGGCAGCACAGGAGCGCACCGCCGCCTTCCAAGAGGCCCAGGCGCCCACGCATGGCGACGACGAAGTGAGCATCTGGGAACAGATCAGCCCTCTCTCTTGGGAAGTCGCCCCAGACGCAGCCCGTGCCGGGGCCCCCTGCGCTGAGCATGACCAGATTGCGGTGCGCGTCAGCCTCGTGCCAGAGGCGCGTCGCCAGGAGCGCAATGTCTCTGGACCTGGCTTAGCACTTTCTGGCCGCGCACATCGAGCTCGTCAGGCGAGGTGTGCACAAGGCGAGCGGCCGCCCGCGCGAGCTGCTCTGGGCTCGCGCCCGCCACCCACGGCCCAGCGTTGTACTCTGCGTGCTGCGCCGCGCCGAAGCGGAAAATGCCGTGCCCCTCGACCAGCCGCGCGCCGGGCACGCTCGCGCATCTCGTCGAGCCGCAAAGCGACGCCAAGCTGCTCCGCGAGAGCCGGCAGTCGCGTGCGAACACTGCACCACCGGGCCCGCGACGCCGCCGCTGCCTGCCTTCCGCTGCAGTCCGCAACGATTCCCAGCCCGCCGTACTCCGTCGGCAGCGCGGCGACGCGCCTGGCCCAGTCGTCCCAGCCGCCGAGCAGGGTAGCGGCAGCGGCCTCCACAGCAGCCTGGTGCTCGCCAGCGACGCGCTCGATGCACTCGTAGGGCATCACGCGGAGGTCGTAGTCGATGGCGTGCGCCGCGCTCTTGCTGATAATTAGGAAGGCCACGCGCCGCGCCTTGCTGTCCGCTGCCTTGCGCGCGAAGTCCAGCGCGCGCTGGAGCAAGCGCCGCGCGCGCTCCACCCTCGCCTCTGTGCGCGCCGTCCTCGACTCGCCGACAGCAACCCATGTCTCCGCGTCGCTGAAGGCGGCGGCGCCGAGCATCCGAATTACGCCCCGCGCGCGTGGGAAGGCTGCCACCATCTGCCTCTCCGCGGGGGTCAGAGCAGCGTCGCCGTCGGCCAGAGCGTCGGCCGTGATGGGCCACGTCTGGGACTTCCCTTCGTTGATCTCGGTGCCGCTCTCGCAAAGCGCCTCGCGCACCGCCGGCCAGCGCGCGTCGCCGAAGGTCTCCGGCAGGACGCGCTGGTCGCCCTGGCACCCCAGGCGCGCCGAGAACGCAGCTGCTGCCGCTCGCTGCCCAGGGCCCCTGATTTCCAGGCCTTCGTACAGCTGCTCGACCCCCGCGACGAACATTACCTGCATGAGCCCAGAACCTTGCCAGCCGCCAGAAGACGTGCGGAAATCTGTCCACGCGCCGCCCCGACTCATCCACGCCTACGCCGTGTCGTTATGCCACTGCGCTGCCGCGACCCTCGCAATAGGCTCGCCGCGCTCGACGACGCCCTTGACGCAGGCGCTCCGGCTGATGAAGCCATAGCCGTTGGCCATGCCGGTGCTGAGCAGCGCGTAGAATTTTGGGCGGCCTCTCACCGCGGCACGCCGCCTAGCGAGCCTCATGATGGATCGCCTCTGCAGCCGCACGCGCGATGTCCACCGCGAGCGCCTGCGCGCCCGACGTGCCGCGCCCCAGCTGCTCCGGCTGCAGCTTCCACGCTGCTGTATGACCACGCTCTCAGCGTACTTGGTGAGCGCCTCTGCCATCGCCAACGCGCGGAGCTTGCGCGTGGTGCGCTGCCCCATCTGCGCGGTTGCCTCTGTCCGCATCGTGCCCGCGTCCGCCGGCGCGATGATGGCCCGCGTCAACAAGTCGGCCACCGCCGGGAGCACTGCGCAGCGTCCCCACATGGTTGCACATCGGCGCAACGCCGCAACCCGACGGTCGTCCTTGGCACGTTCTGCGATGAACATGTTGCGCGTGGAACCGGGTCCTTGCGCAGCGGCCAAGTTGAGCGCGCGCGCCTGGCGCTGGCAGAACTATGCCGTTGCCTGGCATCGTTGCCTGCACGGCCGCTTGCGCTCCTCGTCGCACAACTTCCGCACCTCGGCACGTAAGCGCGCCCGCTCCTCAGGCGTAGCCTCACGCTCGACCAGGCGACGGACCTCGCCCTCTGTCAGCTCATCATCCGGGGCCCTGCGCTGCCCGCGGAGCATCGCCACAGCGGCGACTAGCCCACCGCCGCCACAAGGGAGCTTCCTGGCGACCCGGTCGAAGAGCGCCCCGTCGTCGTCCGCGTGCTCCAGCCCGTCGGTACCGCGCAAGCGCAGCGCCTCCACGCCGCCGCGATGCCGCAGCCCCTGCTCCTCGACATACTCCCGCAGCAAGGCGCTCCAGTCGCCAGCTTCGGCACGCACGTTGGATGCGCCCCCTGATGGTCGCCACGCTGCCCTTCATGTCGTCTTCGCTGGACGGCGCTAGCCGCCCCGGCACGCGGAGGAGCAAGGACGCGAGGACCCACGACCATTGGCTCGCGCATTCCGCCTCCTCGATGACTTCACAGCGCCAGCCTGCGCGTGGACCGCCACGTCGCTGCAGTCCAGGAACTCCACGAGCGCCGCGAGCATCAGAGTCGGCGCGTGAGCGATTTGTTCAAGAACTCGGCCGTGACTGCGGCAGGCTGCGACGCGGCCGGAGCCAGCATCTGCCGCGTCTCCTCTGGTGGCCTGCGCCGGCGGCCAAGGTGGCACGGCGCCCTCCGCCTCGGCAACAGCGCCGTTCTGCTCCTCCACCTCCTCCGCCTCTTCTGCCTCATCCTGCGACCTGGCATGTGCGACCAGAGCTGCACCGGGCGGCGTCGCAGCACGCGCGCCAGCGCAACCAGCGCATCTCCCGGTCTCGCAGTGCTCGCACCTCCACACCCTCCTGTTGCGAGGTATGGGCTGGGAGCAGGCCGTGCACACCACCGCTCGCGTCGCAGTGCACGGTCGCGCACCGCCGCATGGGCACTTACCGCGCACCGGGCCCGCGACGCCCCGATGCCGTGACGCACCAGCGGCAGCAGGCGCATCCCCAACGCCTCCGCCGACCGCGGGCGGCAGCGGCAGCAAGGCGCCCGCAGCAGCGTCAGACGGGGCAACGCCAGCCTGCGATGCTCCCGCCGCCGGAGCCCCGCGGGCCGCCTGCCGCGGCGGCGAGGCCGGGGCGATCTCGAAACGCCCCTCCCACACCCACTCGTCAAACCCCGAGTCGGGCGGCAGCGGCTGCGCAGCAACAGCAGCTTCTGGTCATCACCGTCTGCCCCGACGAAGGGCACGGGCGGCGGCGGCAGCGCGGCGCCAGCAGCAGGCAGGCTCGCCCAACGCAGGTGGCGTGGCCCGCAGGGGCGAGGCGGGCGGCGCGTGGAAGTCCACCTCGAGGTCACCTTGGTGAGGCTCCAGCTGCCAGATGCGCTCCGCGAGATGCAAGCGCAGGAGGGCGAGCTCGGGGCGGACCTCCGGAGTCGGGGCAGGCTGGCACGGCGCCCTCGCTCTGTGCCTCCCTAGCCACGCCACCCCCTCCTCCAGTACCACCCGCGTTTCCTCCACCTCCCCCTGCTGCGGCGGCCCTGGCAGCCGTCCCGGCCGCGTACCTGACGGCCACGGCGGCTGCCCCGGCGGACCCCGCGGCGGCCTCGGCGGCGGCCCCGGCGGGCCCCCAGTGCGCGCCGGCTCGCACGGAGTCGCCGGCTGCGTGAACGAAATCGTCCGCGCAGGGAGGCCCCGCAGCGGCCGCCTGCTGTCCCGGCCGCGTGGCCGATGCGCCGCAGCTGC